ATATAGGCCCAGAACCCTGTCAGTCATCAGCGTGTCCGTCGCAACGCTTCTTTCAAATATTCAAACTCACTCTTTGACAGGGCGAGTGACGCTTCACTTACGCACTCAACGCCCTCATCCCTAATTGCATACGCCTCGTGCACCTCTCTGCTTGTTCGGTCACGATAACGAGCCAAAATCTTAATGTCATGTAGCACTGGCGCACACGGGCCTCTATTGCAATGAATGGCGAGATGACCACAGGGTTCTGGGGCCTATATATGCATGCACTTTTCGAAAAGCGCCTTGTGTCGTTCCACTTCTTTGTCCTTGTCTTTTTTCGGCGCTTTTAATTATTTAAAGAACCATGAACCAACTGGCTCAGCTTTCCACTTTGCTAGAAAGGAGTAGTGGGATCAGGCGCCGCCACGGAAAGGTCCCGGATGTACGCGGCGGCGCTCCGGTCGCATGGGCAGAAGGCTCCGACCGGCTCCGAGCGTTCCGAAGGCGTTCGGCGAGAAGCTGTGTCTTGTGGTTTGGCCGTTCCGCGATATGACAGCGCAGTGTAGCTTCCATTCTGAGCTGATCTTTACCCCGTGTTTGCTGTCGTTTCTGGCCAATGAGGTGTCATGCCGAAATAGTATTTAATCGAGCAGTAAATGCAATGAGAGCCGCTCTGGCTGCCCGCCGCATACAGCCTATCCAGAACACGTTTTGATGGCGCCCTCTCGCGCCGTCGACACGGAGTGCGGCAGCCGGGAGCGCTCGATACGCTCACTAGTTCTCCTCTAGTTCACGGCTACTCAAGCAACCAAGGACGTCATGAGGGAGGTTATTTTTCCCTTGTTTTTGTAACTTTAATTTGACTATAACTTTTAAAAGAAAGGGAATTTCGAGGAAAAAAAAAGCCGCCTACAACTCCCTGTAACTCCGAATTAGAGCGCAGCTCTTGAGGAGGAGGAGGGAAGGGCACTGGGGGGGGGTTAAACTAACCAGGGGGTGGTCACGTGACCTTGGGGGTCACGTGACCCCCACTGCCGATGATGTCATCACTGAGGTCACTGATGACGTCATCATTGCCGATCACGATGCGGGTACCGATGACGTCATTAGTGACATCACTGATGACTTCACCAGTGATGATGACGATGACGATGCGAATGTCGGTGACGTCATCAGTGACGTCGCTGATGACGTCATCAGTGATGATGACGATGATGATGCGAATGTCGGTGACGTCATCAGTGACGTCGCTGATGACGTCATCAGTGATGATGACGATGACGATGCGGATGTCGGTAACGTCATCAGTGATGATGACGATGACGATGCGGATGCCGGTGACGTCATCAGTGATGATGACGATGACGATGCGGATGCCGGTGACGTCATCAGTGACGATGACGATGTGGATGCCGGTGACGACATCAGTGACGTCACTGATGACGTCATCAGTGATGATGACGATGGCGATGCGGATGTCGGTAACGTCATCAGTGATGATGATGACGATGACGATGCGGATGCCGGTGACGTCATCAGTGATGATGACGATGACGATGTGGATGCCGGTGATGTCATCAGTGATGATGACGATGACGATGTGGATGCCGGTGACGTCATCAGTGCTGATGACGATGACGATGTGGATGCCGGTGACGTCATCAGTGACGATGACGTCATTGCGGGTCACGCGACATCGGCGGGGGTCACGTGACCTCAGGGGAGTCACGTGACCTCGGGGGGTCACGTGACCTCGGGGGGTCAAGTGCCCCCCACGAGGTCACGTGACCCCGGTGGGGGCTCGCGCGGTGCATTATGGGACATTTCCCATGATGCACCGGGGTCACGTGACCTCGGGGGGTCACGTGCCCCCCACGAGGTCACGTGACCCCGGTGGGGGGCTCGCGCGGTGCATTATGGGACATTTCCCATGATGCACCGCGCGGTTACGCCGACGGCGACGGCGACGCCGCTCAAGCCGGAAACGGGCCCCTAAGAGCTGCGCTCTAAAAGCCGCTAACAACTCCCTGTAACTCCGAATTAGAGCGCAGCTCTTGAGGAGGAGGAGGGAAGGGCACTGGGGGGGGGTTAAACTAACCAGGGGGGGGGTCACGTGACCTTGGGGGTCACGTGACCCCCAATGCCGATGATGTCATCACTGACGTCACCGATGACGTCATCAGTGACGATGACGATGCGGGTACCGATGACGTCATTAGTGACGTCACTGATGACTTCACCAGTGATGATGACGATGACGATGCGAATGTCGGTGACGTCATCAGTGACGTCGCTGATGACGTCATCAATGATGATGACGATGACGATGCGGATGCCGGTGACGACATCAGTGACGTCACTGATGACGTCATCAGTGATGATGACGATGACAATGCGGATGTCGGCAACATCATCAGTGATGATGGCGATGCGGATGCCGGTGACGTCAAGAGTGATGATGACGATGACGATGCGGATGCCGGTGACGTCATCAGTGATGACGATGACGATGTGGATGCCGGTGACGTCATCCGTGATGATGACGATGACGATGTGGATGCCGGTGACGTCATCAGTGATGATGACGATGACGATGTGGATGCCGGTGACGTCATCAGTGATGATGACGATGACGATGTGGATTCCGGTGACGTCATCAGTGATGATGACGATGACGATGCGGATGCCGGTGACGTCATCAGTGATGATGACGATGACGATGTGGATGCCGGTGACGTCATCAGTGATGATGACGATGACGATGTGGATGCCGGTGACGTCATCAGTGATGATGACGATGACGATGTGGATGCCGGTGACGTCATCAGTGACGATGACGTCATCGGGGGGTCACGCGACATCGGCGGGGGTCACGTGACCTCAAGGAGGTGGTCACGTGACCTCGAGGAGGGGGTCACGTGACCTCAGTGGAGTCACGTGACTTCGGGGGTCACGTGACCCCCCACGAGGTCATGTGACCCCGGTGGGGGGCTCGCGCGGTGCATTATGGGACATTTCCCATGATGCACCGCGCGGTTACGCCGACGGCGACGCCGCTCAAGCCGGAAACGGGCCCCTAAGAGCTGCGCTCTAAAAAATGAAAGCCGTTTACAACTCCCTGTAACGCCGAATTAGAGCACAGCTCTTGAGGAGGAGGAGGGAAGGGTACTGGGGGGGGGGGTGGGTCAAGTGACCTCGGGGGGCGGGGGGTCACGTGACCTTGTGGGAGTCACGTGACCTTGTGTGAGTCACGTGACCTTGGGGCGTCACGTGACGTCGGGGGGGTCACGTGACCTGGGGCCACGTGACGATGCCGATGACGTCATCAGTGACGTCACTGATGACGCCATCAGTGATGATGATGACGATGCGGATGCCGGTGACGTCATCAGTGACGTCACTGATGACGTCGTCAGTGATGATGACGATGACAATGCTGATGCCGGTGACGTCATCAGTGACGTCACTGATGACGTCATCAGTGGCTATGACGTCAACGGGGGTCACGTGACCTGGGTAACCATCGTGACCCTCGTGAGGGTAACCCTAGTAACCCTCGTGAGGGCAACTCTCGTGACCCTCGTGAGGGTAACTCTCGTGACCCTCGTGAGGGTAACTCTCATAACCCTCGTGACCCTCGTGAGCGTAACCCTCGTGAAGGTAACCCTTTTGAGGGTAACTAACCCTCGTAACCCTCGTGAGGGTTACGAGGGTAAGTAACCCTCGTGAGGGTAACCCTCGTGAAGGTAACCCTTTTGAGGGTAACTAACCCTCGTAACCCTCACGAGGGTTACGAGGGTTAGTAACCCTCGTGAGGGTAACCCTCGTGAAGGTAACCCTTTTGAGGGTAACTAACCCTCGTAACCCTCGTGAGGGTTACGAGGGTAAGTAACCCTCGTGGCCCTCGTGATCCTCGTGAGGGTAACCCTCATGAGATTAACCCTCGTAACCCTCGTAACCCTCACGAGGGTTACGAGGGTTGCGGTTACGCCGACGCCGACGGCGACGGCGACGCCGATGCCGACGCCGACGCCGCTCAAGCCGGGAACGGGCCCCTAAGAGCTGCGCTCTAAAAATGAAAGCCCTTTACAAATCCCTGTAACGCCGAATTGGAGCGCAGCTCTTGAGGAGGAGTAGGGAAGGGTACTGAGGGGGGTCACGTCACCTGCGGGTAGTCACGTGACCCCGAGGGGGTCACGTGACCCCCCCCCCCCGGTTACGCCGACGCCGACGCCGACGCCGCTCAGGCTAGAAACGGGCCCCTAAGAGCTGCGCTCTAAAACGTTTCACTAAGTTACTACGTTCAATGCGCTCAGGTTCAGTGCAAATTAAAAATTAGTACAAAAGTTTGGAATAATAAATAAAAACGTGCTCTCCTGACGCAATGATTGAGCGTTTGGTACTGCCGGCTGACTCCACTGCTACAAAGTAACGGAACAAAGTAAGAGAATTTATCATTTATTGAAATGAAAGAATATAACTTTATAGGCTGATCTTGGAGTAGTCATAAATATTTTAAGAACGCGAACCACTTCACAACGACAGCCATGAGCGCGACCTTGATGTTCGGCACAGCCTGCCGGTACAGCCCAAAGATGGAGAGCGGCAACCTCCAGGTTTGCCGTCTGCTAGCAGAGTAGAGGCGCGTGCCCTCTCTCTCATTTTACACCGCCAAACCTGCTGAACCTCCTGGGTGTGTGGAGGGGGCGCTGCGGTCGAAGAAATCGGGACCGCCCTGAGAGCGCTAAATGGAATGGTTTATAGTCGGAAGCCGTGGTGGCAGTATCCGAAGCCGTCGACGCCGGGGAAAAGAGGCTCTCCGAACACAACAGTCTGGACCATTGACAGGTTGGGATTCCCATCCTCCGCTGTGCTAGAGGGCCTGCGCTGAATGCCAACGCATTTCGTCGAGAATCAGCATAGCGACAGCGGCGAAGTCGGACATCATTTGTGTGCTTTTTTTTATCTATAGAACCATATTTATAGAGATAACTAATACACTGCTTGTCTTTTCATTATTTTTTATTTGAGTGTTGGGTTGAGCCACGGTATCTAAACAGCGCAAGATCCAAGTCTGTTCATAATTATAAGGCCAAGTACAAAATAATAAAATCAGTATTCTTTGGCCTGGTGAGCAAAATTATTCATTCCGTATTTTTGCACCTTTTTTTTTTTTTTTAGCAATGCAGTGTTTTCTCAGTCCTTTTAGACTGGCGTTAAACATCACTACCACGTTTGTAAAAAAACACTTTGGCGGAATGCTGCTATAAGCACGTATAGGAATGTTGTTTGGCATGGCCGTTAATTCCAACGTGAAGGTCAAGTTAGTCGAACTGAGATAACCAGAAGACGGGCCAAGGGACAATATACAATAAAAAACAAAGGTCTCCGGTAGCAACATATGTATGACAACTTTGTGACCATTGCAGCACCCTCATGATTCTTTGGTAGTAGCAAATGACGGAAGTGTAAAATCTTGCCTCCCATATATGAGAAGGCTGAGGCGACCAGAAGGAAACAAAAACGACTGATTACTGGCACCATTATAGAAGATACCATTGTTCAGGCAATGACAGTACATAGTAAACAAAGGACCCTTCTTCATCCTGAATTGGATAAAGAAGGGTCCCTCTGTGCTTCTCTGGTTACCCATGGAAATATTGTGCCCATCTTACTTTCTCTCTCTTTTTCTGCCTCCCTGAAATCGAGCACAATATGGATGTTGAGGGTACTGATAATACGCATCTTGATTGGCTATACTGCGGTGACTGCAGCCTGTCTTCGAATATCGTATTTACCGACCTATCCTGCTCATAGATCAAACAATATTCTCCAAGTGACAACAAATGACGACACAGAAGCGTGGTATCATGCTGTCGGCTGACGCGATCCTTGCGGTTGGTGCTACAGAAGTCCCGGCAAAAAGTATGAGTAAATGCAAGTGTCGCTGTCGTCGCGGCGTTCCGACTCCTTACTGCCGAACCTTGCGTGGTCCGTCGAGCAACCTGCGGCAGGACAGGCGCCTGTCGCATTCACCGCAGCTGCCTTGACATCGCCAAGATCGCGGCCGGTGAAAACATGATACTTCATTGACGTCATAGTTTGAAAATTGAGAAGCCACGTTTTAGTACGCGGAGATACACCAGTCGGAGAGGCGTTCCTGGCACCATATACGTATACAGCGCTTTAGGACAAAAGACGCAAGCGGGAGGATGTTCCACGGTGATCTGCCTGGGTAGTGTCTAGTACAGTCCTCCAGCTGCAGATACGGCAGCAGCCCCACTTGGAACAATCTTTACTCTTTAAAAGAGTCCCTTCCTTTTTTCCTTGCGCTTTTCTTTCCCTTCCAGTTGTCTGCAAAAGAAAAAAAAAAAAAAGAGGGGGGGGGGGGGGTGAAGGGAGGTATGACACGGCCGTGGTTAGTTTGGCACCCCTTTCGGTCGGTTGGTGTGTAGCAAGCTAATTGTTCCTAACAACAAGGCCGTCGACTTTCTGGTTTCAGCCGAAAACGATCGATAAACATTCGTCGGTGTAAAAAAATACAAAATCGGTTAAAGCAGAGAAGCCCCGATAAACAGCTATTGGGGTTAAGAATACCAAATCGGGTTGAGCAGAAAAGCACTAATCTTTGTGAGTATCGTTTTTAGCTAGGGATGCTTTTGTGAAAACCCTTCCCTTTTAGACTTGAACTTTTTGTTGTTTTATAAGGTCGCTTCCCACATAATCACCGTTTTCAGCGTCTGTCGAAACTATTAGGCCGAAATACACAGATATTAAGCAATAAATAAATACCGGAAAATGTCTACCGACTTTCCATATAAAGGCTAGAAAACCTATGTCCTACCTACAACGTAATAAAAAGCTCCAGAAACAAAGTCACCTTAGCTCCTTCAAACAGCATGCCAAAACAAAACCTCGTGGATAGAAGGCTTTTGTTCAAATATAACTGATGTATAACAGGGTTCGAAGGTACAAGACGCACAAACACCCAGGATATGGGGAAGATCCTTCAGATGAACCTTGAACACTTTACTGTTTCCAATCATGCTATTGACCTCATCGGCTAAAAATGTTTCCATGTGGATCGCTCATCCAATTTACTATTTTTGCGTGGAAATTGCGCATTTTGTTATTTCCAAGATTATATTATTTAGGATCTTAAGAGATACACGAGTCAATTTAGTCTACGGCCATTGCCACGGCGTCGAACAAAATGATTTTTTTTTCAAAAGCGCAATTGTTTTTTGATGATCGAAAAATAAATGTTTACGATTCCAGGGGTGTGACATCTGCGCCAATTGCGTCATTTTGATACAAAACCAATTTTCTGCACCTAGTTGCGCCAAGAACGCAAAATCGGTCGAAATTGCGCCACACTGCGCCAAAGTAACTAAAAAACAAAAAAAAAGTTTGCGGCGACGCTAGATTTAGCGGGAAACGAGAGCTTGGTTGGCAACATTCAATCTCGCCGTAGTAATGTACACGGCACGGGTACAGGGTCGCGCAAGCAACCGCCGGATTCGAAGATTTCAGCTGTTGTACCTTTCTATACATATGATACGTGGTCTTTTACCGATTTTCCTACTATTTTTCGCTGCCATTTGTGACTGCACGCTACCGGTGCGCTGTAGCTCGGTCTCGCTGTCTGGCCGCGGGAGGTACGACGCACAGGCTATCAAGATGAGCAGACCTAGGTATTTCTTTCGTTTTGGATTAAGCCTTTTCTTAAACGTGCTATTGAGCACCTCCATTGTGTAACTGTTCATTCCTGTCCGTAATTTCGTTAAAATGGACGGCGCCGTCGTCGTGAGTACTTTTATCCCCCACGTGCTTCCAGTGCGTGAGCAATCGAATGAATCGGTCACACATCCATATTTAACGTGCATGTGCTGCTTTTTTTCTTTTTGCACAAGGTGTTTTTTTTTCTATTTGAACGTGTTTTCAACTTGCGTCGGATCGATGCCTGGTTGAAATAAACCGTGCTTCCCTGTTGATGCTTTCGAATCACCGCTTTAAAAAGTTTCGCTTTGGCACCAGTTTCTATAAGCTTGTACCTGGTGCCCACCAAACTTTGCAGCAAGCCTGTGTTTCTTGTCCTCATCTATGCACATTAGACTCGAAATTGCCTTTTCCGTTTTGTTTATCTTTTATATTTTATATTGGTGCGTAACGGCGCTGATGAATTATTGGAACCAGGGTGGGAAAAAAATTAAAAAGGAAAAATTACATTTTTTTAAATTTAAATTGCTGATAAGCTGTTCTAACATTTTCTGCTCCTTATCTGCTCCCAACTGTAAGCTTTCGTGCTTCAAAGTTGTTTCAAAATGCATAAACTGCTGCTCCAAAACGAGAATGTTTTGCTTTTAAGCTGCTCCAAAATCCAGATTTTTCTACTCCAAACATTGCTCCAAAACCGTTTTCACCTGTCTCACCCCTGGAATGCTGAAAAAGTTAGGCTGTCTGTCCCTCTTTATTTTCTAAACGTCACAACATTCTCTCGTGTTCCTCAATCGCTTCATTGTTTAAGGTGATGGCGCGCATGAGGAACATGGGCACTGCAATCCGGAATTTTCTCGAAAACTGATGAATGCCTAATATCGAATGAGACTCCTTCCCATTCGTTTTTTGTTCTTACAAAACTGAGAATTAATCTTAAAAGCTCCAGAAGTATTTTGTACAAGGATGACAAGCTGACCAAAAAAAAAAGTAAAAATAACGCGAGGTAAACAGTATAAAATTTAAAAAAATTTGAACGCACACTAAAACATCTGAAACAAGAAAGGCATGACTGCCTTTCTTTATGGAAAATATTTGAGGAACTGATAATTCCTTTTTTTCATTACGAATGTCTTACAAGACGTTTAGCCAAAGGTAAGGTGCATGGCAATCCATGGTGAGACGCATATTTGGCCAAAGGCACTTCTGTGCTTGTCAGTTCTCGAGGCTTTGTGAGGCACCCACAGTAGCCGCTGTCCCCCACAGGCAAAGTGTCAACTGATGCGCGGGCCCAGGTAGCCCGATTCTTCGGGCCAAAAAGGGAAAAAGTGTTGTCTCTCGTAATTTAGGTTTTTAAAGAGTCCTAAGAAGCCAAGGTGGATCCAAACTTGACCTTCATTGGCTAAGATCTGCGTACCTTGGCCATAAATGGTCAAACAAGTGGTATATTTTGGTTCCCCTGCTGGTTAAGCTTCGGTTGAAATGTGACATCTTCGCCTCAATTTTGGCACTTCGGCAATTATGATGCCATTCAAAATAGAGGCATAAAAACGCCAGAAAATGTGCTTTGGCACTAGTGCCTTGAATCAACACCGTATTAGCTTCAAGTTAGGCCACTAGAATTGCCAAGTCTGGGCCAAGTTAAGCGTTTTTCTGGCGCGGTACCAGGGGGTCTTTCTGCCCAGCACCAGTGTTGTCCACTTACTATTTGACATTTTTCCACCCCCCGAAAGTGGGAAAACAGAAGGACAGAACAACACGAGTTGTGATGTCCTGTCCTGTCTCTCACTTTGAGAAAAAAAGCTAGTAAAAAGTTCCTAAATGCAGCAGTTTCTACTGCTGCAATTACCAATTTTTTCTGATCATTCCTATCTTTTTTTGCTATATATTTACAAATTCAAAGGAGTGTCAGATTGTAGAAAGTTAGTACCTGCAACATTTTATACATTTTGTTCTGAAAGTTACAACATTTTACTAGTTATTTGCTACCTCAAACGCGCAACAAATAGTAACAGTAACTGCACGTATCACAAGCTGGAAATGTTGAGCTGGTGACCACCACAGATGCCTGAATTACTGCACCTAGCATACCTGGTGTTCTTTCTATGAAGCATGATTAAAATATTCTTGATAGCGCTAAGTAATTACTAGCTTTTAATTCACACAGTCTAATTATTGTATTTTGGGCAAATAAATGAACGAGTACCTTAAAAGAGTGGCATACATTAAATAAATGAAATATATGCGCAGCCAATGATATATCCAGTTATTATTTGTTATTTCTAGCATTGATGTTTTTAAAACCAGTTGAGTAAACATCACAGCACCGACCTAAAATGTTCGAAAGCTTAAAGAAGGGTCGTCGTGGTAATTTAAATAATCAATAAGAAAAATCACTGACAATACTGCATTTTTAACATAATTCATCAAATCAGTATTAAACGCTAATAATAGATTCATCTACTGTGAAATTTCTGAAAGCATTTCGGTTTAAAACAGCAAGCCAAAACAAGGACAAAGTAAAGACCAGACAGACGCCAGCATGACTATCAACTGAAAGTTTATGTCTTTCTCAGTCTGTTTATTTGCCTGTCACGTGTGTGTGTATATACGGGGAGTGGTGAAAATAAACTTTCAGTTGATAGCCGGTGGCATCGTCTGTTTTGCCTTCACTCTGTCCTTGCATTGTCGCGCTGTTTTAAACCAAGAGGCGTATCAAACAACTCGCACAGAAATTACGATATGAACTATTCCATCGAAAAATTGAAAAGAAATAATAAGTAGAAGTAAAACTTGCTCAAGATGGAAGCTTTGGCGAATCGGTGAGAGTTCGTGCGCGCTGTTCCTACTAATATTTTGTCACCCGCTATGTTTATGCAACAAATGTGAGAGTTACCGGCTAAGTTAAATTCAAAAGTAAAACTGCCATATATAGCGATCGGGTGAACTTGGCATCCTTAGAGGAGAGTGCGTTATTGGTTTGGATGCTGTGTTGTTGTTTGTGTGTTCTTCTCTGGATGCTATGTCCTTGTTTGTGTGTTCTTCTCTGGATGCTGTGTCCTTGTTTGTGTGTTCTTCTGTCTGTATATGTCAGTGCATTGTTTTGTATATTACTGCATGGGCGGTCTGTGTATTTAGAGCTCGAGTGGCGAGGTAAATGCAAGCGGGATAATTCGAACTCTTTTTTTTCCTTGCTTTTTTCAGCACTACTTTTTTCAAGTTACATCAATCAAACTGCGTGGCCCTAGGGGTCGAAACGCAACACGCAACACTGTCGTCTTTCGCAACCGAAGGTATAGGAAAGTTATCTCCTTTTGTGGAGTAATACATCGTACATTTCTGTTCCTCCTTTGCGGAAGAAAGTGCTATTACATTTTTTCGTAGAGTAGTCTTGTTAGAGTTAGTGCCAGTTACAAGCCAAGTGTAATGAAATATACTAGGTTGGTTACTAACGGTTACTAGCTCCTTCAGTTAGTAACGTTACTAACGTGACCGTTACTCCACTGCAGTTACTACGAACCCAGTTATTGTTGTGACAAGCAGTTACAAACTTTTAATTGGTAAGTACTACGAACGTCTGCTTTCTGAGAGTGTGTGTGTCGTGTTGTCCCGTGTTTTTGTTTCCTCAGTCTCAAGGGCTAAAAAATGCAAGCCCTTAAAGGGATACTGAACCAAAGAATTTAGTGTCCATAATAAGTGGCTCACGTTCTTTCCACGAGCCAGCAGCCGCCGGTGTGCGCGAGCACACGCAAAGAAAATGACGTCAAAGACCTCCATTCGCGCTTAACAGGACAGTGAAATGCATGGGCTTCGGGCCAAAGAAGAATAAAGACAGGCTTTTCATCTCTACAAGTGAAAGCTACTTGCTTGTTAGACCATTTAATCGCTTACCTTTTGCAGCAGACATCACTGTGTAGATGAAAAACTTGTCTTTATTCTCCTTTGGTCCGAAACCCATACATTTCACTGTCATCTTAACCGCGAATGGAGGTCTTTGGCGTCATTTTTGTTGCGTGTGCTCGCGCACACCGCGGCTGCTGGCTCGTGGAAAGAACGTGTGCCACTTATTATGGACACTAAATTCTTTGGTTCAGTATCCCTTTAACCAGCTTGTCTGCATCCCTTGTATTCAGTTCTCTTACTCTCTATTGTTGCTGTCCATCGCCAGTTTGCGGAAGACGTCGTCCATGTCACGGTAGCTCAGGTCGAAGGCTGCCTTCTCCCTCTCGAAGTTCCGCCTCTTCTCCTCCAGTTCCAGCTTCTGCTGCTCGAGGCTCTTTTTCATCTGCTCGTGCCTTCGTTGAAGCTGCAAGCACCGCCTTCCGTCACTTTGTGTTCTTACAGTGGTTCACCGTGACATAGTCCACTGGTGGAAACATAAATGCCTACTGCGGCATCGCTGTCACAGAGGCTACAGTTAGGCACATCCCCAGGTCCTATGGGTGTGAGTAGAGAGTTTCTCTTTGACGCTCCCCAGTGAGGTTCTACACCTGGCAACGGGGAGTCTCCGCCTACGTTACGGTGACAGGTCAGGTCTCTTCCACGTAATTATGTCCTTGAGATTCCTTTCCTCAGAACTATACGATTACGTAGAGTATTGGTTCTCAAATGGGGGTCCGCGGACCCTTTGCGGTCCGCGAAGGCATTCTAGGGGTCCGCGAAGCTCTCACTCATCAGTCAAGCCAGGCAATTAAAGTTGTATTTTTCTCATATTGACAATAAACATTTCAATTTTCAGGTGAGTTTTCTCGTGTGAATGTCAATCAGAGAACTCTACTTCACACTAGCCCATAGTTTTATTCGTTTATTAACTAATTTTCATAATTAACCATAACCTTTCCCTTTCCCTCACCAGAAATAGGGTCCTCCATAATATCCGCCAATCCACAAGGGGTCTGCAAACATCAGTGGTTGAGAACCACTGCCGTAGAGTATACACTTACATAGAGTAATACACTTACGTAGTGCAATGCTTACACTGCACGGTTACAAGCACTACCACAAGCTGGGAGGCTGCAAAGCACGCTTTCGCGAAAACCGCCGCCCAACCAACACTGGCGCCAACCCCTGGAGCCCCACCACGGGGGTGCTGGACTCCCTGCGTCGCTGGAAATTCGGCCGGCTCGTCTGCAAGCCCTGCATGCAAGGAGCTCTCGCCAGGCGCTTGAGACCGGCCTGCTCGAAGTCAGCAGCCCATGGGGGCGTCGCGAAAACCGCCGTCGTGAAGTCCGCTGCAAGCCTAAACCTCTCACCCGCTTCAACCGTAACATTAACCCCTTACCCTTGCCCACAAGCTCCATTTAAACCATCATGACCACTTTTTTTAAAACTTTCTCTGTACAATAGACCATTTGCCGTATTCCCAAGCGCCCCGGCCCGGACTCAAAGAATCATGGGAACGGTGTTCCTTCAGCTCCCTAGTGATGGCTAATTTTAAATCACCTCCATGGTTACAAGTCCATGGTTACACAGTTTTTGAGCGTGATTCGAGGTCACCCTGAACAAGCACCTGATATACCCCAAGGGCCTGTCATATCACTTTTAAAATTGCTCGTCAATGTCAGCATTTTTGATACTGTGCATGCCATCCACCTTTCAACCTGGCTGAGCTGCAGAAATCTCTTAAATTATTATCATTCTCGTGATTGTTGTTTGAACAAGAATTGATTAAAAAGCCGATAATTCGCAACAACAAAAACCAGGATTTAGCCCGGAGTCCGCGGAGCTGTTTATAGCCTTTTTAGCGTTTCTAACGTAATATCAGCATGATAATAATGTGACAGACTTCTGCAGCCCATCCAGGTTAAAGGTTGGACAGCATGCACAGTATCAAAAACGCTGACATTGAGGAGAAATATTCAAAGCGATATGACAGGTGATTGGGGTATATCAGGCGCTTGTTCAGGGTGACTTCGAATTACGCTCAAAACCTGCGTAACCAAGGATAGGATTACCAATCACCAAGGGGCTGAAGGAATACCGTTCCCATGATTCTTTTAGCGCGGGCCGGGGCACTTGGGGGATATAGCAAATGGCCTATTCCATCTCACCATCGTCGGACGCCGCGCAGCGGGCCATCATGATATGGGTCACTTGCCTTTCTGTGGCGCTGCGGCTCTCGTGAGCCGAAATCAATCACTATCCCTATTACTATACGTTTGTATAATGTTTTCCATCTACGAGTTTCCCTGCCAATTCTAAATATGTAGGATTTCTTAGTTCCTGGAAGTGCGGTATTTTCTCTTGAAACCTATCCTTTTCGTGACTTGTTTTCGAACGGTTAAAGAACTTAAAGTTAACGAATAATTTTAGGTTGTTTAGCTATAGGGACTGTTCGCAAACATCTTGATTTCATTATCAAAAGTAAACTATTCACTTGTGAGGCTTGTCCCTGTTGTCAATGCTCGCGCTTGACAATCAAGGAGACAAACAAGCTCGCATTACTATCGCTGGAAGTCCAACGTTGCTCACGCTCCAGGAACGCTAAGCACCGCTTTGTGTGTTTTCGAAAGACCTCAGTTACACTGCAGCTAAAAAAGGAAGAAATTCAGAAGGCATGCAATATTTAAATTTTCCAAATGTACCAGGGCACCCCAGAAAAAAACCGATACTTGTCAATCGGGCAGATCATGCTCCATGACGTCGCGGAGTTCAAACTTTTCTGCGTGTACGCTACCGCGCGCTGTAAGTATAAAAATTGGAGAATACCCCGTATAGGGGTATTCTCCACTTTTCATGCACACATGCGGAACGCCCGTATTTACACGGCGGCGCTGCGGTCGTACGGGCTAGAGGATGCGACCGGTTTCGAGCGTTCCGAAGGCCTTCGGCGAGCGGCTTTGGCTTGCGGTTTGGCCTTTTGGCGGTATGGCAGCGCGAAGTGGTTCCCGTTCTGAACTGATCTATACCCCGTGTTTGCTGTCATTTGTGGCCAATGAAGTGTCATGCCCATACCTCGGCAAACCTCACTCATGAGGGCCCTCACTCACCCTCACTCACCCTCATCTTCACAGGTGAGGTGAGGGTGAGTGAGTTTCTGAACCAGGAAAATTCATGAGTGTGAGGGTGAGTGAGGGCGGTGAGGGCCGTGAGGGCGGTGAGGGCCGTGAGGGCCGTGAGGGCCGTGAGGGCGGTGAGGGCCGTGAGGGCCGTGAGGGCCGTGAGGGCCATGCAACTCGGAGCAATTCGAATGCGTTTGAAGCGGCTGCATCCAATCAGGGACGCAAAATTTTCACGTGATACCTCGTGCCGGTGATGATGACACCGAAAGACTTGGTTCTGGTTTGAAATCGATCGTTTTTTTGGAAATAAACTGTTTCAGAAAGGTGCATTAGTATTCTTAACGAGATTTAAATGCATAAAAACACGTTTATAACGCGTAATTGTGTCTAAATAGTGAAAGAAAAATAAAATTTGATGATGACGATGGCAAATTGCAGCAATTCGTTGCTGCGTATGATCGCGGGCGGCCCGTGTTGCTGGTGTTGCGACGTAAAGTTTCTGGGCGAAATTGCCCCATCTGAAGCTGGCCTGAGTGGCGTGAGGGCCATCAGTGCGTGAGGGGTGTGAGGGCCGCAAGGGCGGTGAGGCGCGTGAGGGCGGTGAGTGGCGTGAGGGCGGTGAGTGGCGTGAGGGCCGTGAGGGCGGTGAGGGCCGTGAGGGAGGTGAGTGGCGTGAGGGCTATGAGTGCGTGAGGGCGGTGAGGGCCGTGAGGGCCGTGAGGGCGTTGAGGGCGGTGAGGGCCGTGAGGGCGGTGAGGGCCGTGAGGGCGGTGAGGGCCGTGAGGGCGGTGAGTGGCGTGAGGGCCATGAGTGAGTGAGGGGCGTGAGGGCCGTGAGGGCCGTGAGGGGCGTGAGGGCCGCCGTGAGGGCGGTGAGTGCGTGAGGGCCGTGAGGTTCCGTGAGGGTGAGTGAAGGGCTGAAGGTGAGTGTGACTGTGAGGGTGAGGGTGAGTGAGGGGCTGAAGGTGAGTGTAGCTGTGAGGGTGAGGGTGAGTGAGGGGCTTAGGTGAGTGTGGCTGTGAGGGTGAGGGTGAGTGAGGGCGACCTAAAATGCCGACCTCTGGTCATGCCATATTAGTATTCAATCGCGCAGCAAATGCAATGGGCGCCCTGGCTGCCCGCTTCATACAGCCTATCCAGAACATGCTTTAGTGGCGCCCTCTCGAGCCGTCGACACGGAGTGCGGCAGCAATGATCACTCGTTGAGCTCACAACCCCTTGACTAGTAGTTCACGGCCACTCAAGCAAGCAAGGACGTCATGAAGGAGATTATTATTTTGCTGGTTTTTGTAATTTTAATTTGCCTATAACTTTTAAAATAAAGCGAAATTCGAGAAAAGAAAAGTGTAATTAAGTTACTACGTTCAGTACGCTCTGCTTCGGCGCAAATTAAGAACCAGAAAAAGTTCTTGCAGCGCCGCTTTAAGAATCGAAAGAACTTAAGGCAAGTTGTACCATTCTTGTGAACATTATTGTAATAAAGTGTTTGCAATCGAAATATTATCCACTGAACTTTACGCGACTTTAGTGAAGTTCACAAATAATAAAATTTGTTTTAGACGAAATGCCAGTTCTTAGAAATGCAATATTTGATCACCCTTCCCAAGGCTTTAGCCATTCTAAATTTCCCTGACAGAAAGCGCGACAAAGCTTACAATTACACTTGCTTAGTTTTAATAAATATAATGCATAGAGTGACACCTGAAAATTATGAATCTCTTAACTATACGGGAAGTACTTTATAACACCTCAGTTGCTTACCTTCTATCCTCTTAGGTCATATCTTCGCAGAGGGTAGATAAACCGCGCATAGCGTGATGTGACCATACACTGCAGGTCGCACGTGTAAACCGGCTACGTGAAAGCAATTACAAAATAAATAAAAGGAAACATAGGGCAGTTAACTTTTCTAGGTTTGAAAGGGAAAAAGTAATAGTTTAGCTATTTCTCCACAGGACATAAGGCGGGTGTTTGATTTGACTAGAGTTAAGGGACAAACAGCCGGTAAAGAAGAGAGATGCTCACGTCTGATTCGGACTCCCTGAGCTTGTGCATCTTCTCGCGGACCTTCATCTCAAAGACTTGCTCCATCTCTTTTTCCATGCGCTGCATCTTGGCCTCATGCTCCTTCTTCTCCTCTTCTATCTGGGCCAAGGGGTTCCTGTAGGGTACGCAGGAGGCCACGTATACGAGGAATCGCTTAGCCACCAACCTTCAGAGACCCGCCGTGCCTTCCATGAGCCCCAGAGGTACCCACGTGTCGCCCAATTTTAACAAGAAACACCATCCCCGCCGTATCCTAACTCTCGTTGCAACTGACACGAGCAGTGTTTCTCACTAGGCTGTGAAAAGCTGCGCCTGAAAACTTCTCGAAGAAAGCGACACATTATAGGGAATTCAATTCCAGGCATGCCCAAGAAATTATTTTTTATTTAATTTATTTGCTTCCAAAAAATGTTACCGTTTGTTAGATATTTCTAATTTTTACGTTTCTTGTGTCGTGTGCGAATTAAGAAAAAAAAACATATACCACAGATTCCATCATATGTATTTCAAAAGAAAGGCACGGATATGGCTCAGCCAACCATGTTCGTACCCAGAGGCTGGCAGAGCCATAGCAGTCTCTGCATGCATGCATGCAAGTTGCTTTCAACTATGACTGTTAAAGCAAGGGCGGCGGATACGGTAGGCTTGGCGCCAAAGACGATATCTGTTTTGTGGCGAAAGCTACCCTTCCCTTCACAAAGAGCAAGAATAACTGTCTTGCTAAAAACCCCTTGCAGAGCATTCAAGAAGCCGTTCCAAGGCATGAACAAGACGGGAAGAAAGTCATAATAGGGAGTATCTGTACGCGATTCAAATGAGATGTAGAAACGCCGAAACGCTGCTGATGCAGACGACAGAACGCCAGCGTCTCAACTGCTTTCAAAATTTCAACTCCACGTAATTTGTTTAGTAGCAATTGGATGGCGCTACTAAGCCCTAGCCGTCGTCCGGGATTGGGCAGAGGGTCACACTAGAGTTCCTGTATAGGCTCCCTACGGGAGCCAGAGTTGCGCATTTGTTTTCCCCGCGCCGCCACGCCGCTATTCGCCGAGATCTCACCACGTGAGGAGCAAAGCATCCGGTGGCGTGCAAGAAAGCCACCTCTACGGTCGCTCCGCCGACGCAGAGCCGTATATGTAGAGAGTTTGGTCAATGGGAGGCGCGGGCAGAGCCAGGGCGTGCACCAGACTCGGAAAGAGGGCTTGGCGTGCTCTCTTGACCAACCAGAAGCCGAAAAGAATCCCCTAGCGGTGGTAGCGAGAAACAGTTCTGATCAAAGGTCTATGTTCGTATATGGTTTTAACAAGCGCGTAAGAGTGAAGTGTAGTAACTCTTTGTGGTTGAAAATAGGGTGCACGTGTTGTTTTCATCATGATCATGCAGAAAGATGTAAGAAACGAATCCGCCGCTCAACTCTGTTTTGCTCGGACAGAGTGTGACCGCTCGGACGGCAGATTCCCGGCCCTCGACGCTTGGCGGACGGATTATGTCGATCGTTCCGCTAGTCGCACTCCTCCACCATCATTTTGGTTGAGCGTGATTGAAACATCACGTGTACTATATTTTCAGTCATCCAGAGTTACTCTAATGCAGTTATCAGGTTTGCTGCTCCCGACCACCGCCAGGGTAATATTTCCGGCTTCTGGTTGGTCACATTTGAATTTCTGAAGACGCTTTGGAACACGCCCAGCCCGCTTTCAGCCAATGGCACCTCCTCATTTGTCTCCTACACTTCCCAACGAATGGCCAAACTCTCTACATATACGGCTCTGCGCCGACGTTTCTCTTGCCCCGGCGTATGTTTCCCTGCTTTCCGCCTCCTTTTACTCCTCTCCTGTTTTCCATGCGCGGCGGCGCGCGCTGCGCCGCTATTCGCCAAATTTAGTCACGCGAGGAGCAAAGCATCCAGCTCGTGCGGGAAAGACGGCGCTACGGCCACGCGCCGAGGCTGAATGCGCAACTCTGCTACCGTAGGTAGCTGTACAGGAACTCTAGGTCACACCCAACGCATCGCACATAGTACCTCTATTGGAGTTTACAAATGGTGTAACCCACAAAAAGGACGTCCTGGTTCGAGGGGGAACTCACTTGTTGGACCTGCCGGATTCCGCCGCGCCACCCATGCCACCCAGGTTACGGCACCGATAGTTCTCGTAATGTACATTGTTGGTGATGTCTTTGAGGTCCTGCATATGCGTCCTATACGGAAAAGGGTCATCAGCTACACAGCTTTCCCGTCACCCGAAGGACCGCTGGGCTCACCTGATCAGCATGTTGCGCAGGGCAAGGTAGTCACAGTGCTCCATGTTTTCAACTGCAAGCCCGAGAAACACGGCATACCAACGGTACTAGATGACAAGGCCGTAAAGCAACATTTGCCCCGTCACGTACTGGAGGCCAGCGCGGGGCACAGATCAGAGCTGAGTGCCGCGTAAGTGTTCGGCTGCTTCTCGTGTCCTCGCTAATTAAACACGAGTCTCTGCATAACGCTGACGCAGCACTCATGTCCAAGCGGTGTCTCGGACTGTCCTTCGTTGAGTAAAGTGGAAAATGTGGATCTATGGCGTAGTTGTTTAGGCGATGCTGGACTGACACCTACCCTCAGCGACGCCCCAGGGGTACTTGCGACCGCGCACTCGCTTGCCGTTCACTTCCACCACGGTATTGCTGCCCACCACCGCAAAAGGCACCCTCTCCTGGGAAAGACGGACATTGCGTCACCTGAGATGGATAATGTTCCGGAGCTCTCTCGGTTTGAGTTACATTTGGGGACAGTTCTCGTTTATCGCATCATTATACCTGGACACAGAGAGCAACGTGAATTCGTGCACAATACAAACACCAAATGGTGAGTGTCGGAGCTCATTAGCTACCATTTTTGGACTGAGTTACCTTCTCATTTGCCTTTATACTCACTTCAAGACAGCATTGAAACGAGCCTATTGATCCACATGGAAAGCTAAATGAACAAAGCCCTGCCTGCTCAGCGTTTCTACAAATTAAGTTATGTCACAGGGAACAGTGAACAACTTGAAAAGATCACTACGAAAAGAAGGTACTGAGAACATTGGCAGAGGAGATTCCTCCAAGGCTCAGACAATGCAACTTCCAGTGTATGTTCTTGGAAGATTAAAAGTAACAACGAATACGAATGCTGTACAGAAGAAATTCGTGTTTTACCCTTTCAAACGCTATGTACACAGATGTGTACATCTCAACCCCTCGCTTTTTCATTTCTGAAATATATTGCATATTGAGTCATTTTCACAATTTTAGCCCAATTCAATACTTTATGTCTGGCCCCTAAAGTTCGTAAAGAAAATTTTTGTGAAACTTTTCTTTACAGACAAGAGTGAAAAAAATTGTTTCCACAATAAATAGCGAGCTTCATTGCATACCATAGCCTTTTAAACAATGACCAAAGCACATGCTTGAAGTTCATTCAACAACAAGCTCACCGGCGAGCATACTGTTCTTTTCCTTAAAATAAATATCCTTAAAGCAGAGACTTGTGAGAAAACGCATTCCCCAGCTTCCAGCGACCAAGAACGCGGTGATGACAAGCCGTTTGATTAAAATAAATAAAATGTTCGGACCCTAGCGAATTACAGTGCACACGAACAAGCCTACGGACGTATGCTTCTTAAACTGACGAAAAAGTCTTCAACGATATGAAAACCCTATACGACGTGGCAGTTTAAGTCGGCTGTGCTGGATTTGTTTTGGAAAGGCCAAAATTGATTGAAATAGAAAAATTAAAAAAAAAATAGATTGGTTAATTTTTGGTTTAGAAATGGTTAAGGTACCTGTGGCCAAACTTTGTGTAGCACCACCATACAAACTAGAGCATTCAGTGAGTCTTTCATACTGTGAGAGACTTCCCACGTTCCTAGATAATACGCATGTGCACCAGCATTCACCGTCCCCCCAGGAAAGCGCGTTTTGTCTCTTGCAGCTGCGGTGCCTTGCTGCATAAGCTGGGACCTGTGCTCACCCTGAGGGGCTTCTGGCGCTTGTTCTCTTCCTCGTCCTCGCAGTCGGGAAACTCGTAGAGCCGGATCTTGTGCTGCGTCACCTCGTTCAGAATCTGCAACAAACGGGAAACTGATATACGCCCGGCTGCAGAAGGGTCTCCGCCCCGATGCTCACGGTCCTCTTAAAGAGGCTGCACTCCTCGGGTGTCATGGTGTCCGCCTTGGCAACCACGGGAATGATGTTCACCTTGTCGTGCAGACGTTTCATAAACTCTATGTCCAGGGGCTTCAGCCTGCGTCAAGAGCAACAAAGCAACAAAGGCTTCAAAACTGGGCTGGGACTTTGTAAATAGGCGTGCGTGGGGGACCGGATTGCAGCGGACGCACGCAGGCCGAAGGAGTCGCGCCAATATCACTTATACAACAAGCATGCACCTTCCCTCCTCTAACTTCATTACTATACGGGTACATACTGAGAGAAATGAGAAGCTTAGAGAGCGCAGGGACGCAAGTACACCGAGCTCTAGTTTGGATGATTAGTGGTATAGGTCGTCATGGCATGCTTGAAAGATTTCCTCTCGCAGGCTGGCCGGAACAACCAGCAGCCAGGCAGTGTTGCTCGTTCCGAAGTTCTTCTTGAAGAGCACGCCTCGCCGCAGAACGAAGCTTGGCAGGTCTCGGACCAAGACTCGCGGAACTTAACTTCCTTGACCTTCAAGGTGGTCCATCACGGCGCGAAGTTCGGGGTCGTCTCGTTGAAGTGCTCCCATGTCAGTATCCGTAAGTGCTCCGAGAAAACGATCGTCATCGTCGTCGTCGGTGCTCTCGGGTGGAGATTCGATTGGTACCCCAGACAAACAATCGGCGTCATTATGCTTGCGGCCAGACTTATGCGCAATGGTTACGTCAAATTCTTGCAGTCGAAGGCTCCAGCGAGCGAGGCGTCCTGACGGGTCCTTAAGGTTGGCGAGCCAACAGAGAGCGTGGTGGTCCGTGACAACGCGGAACGGGATCCCGTACAGGTACGGACGGAACTTGGTTAACGCCCAGACGACAGCGAGACACTCCTTGTCGGTGGTTGAGTAATTTTTCTCTGCCTTGGACAGTGCCCGGCTTGCGTAAGCGGTCACCCTCTCTGCTCCGTCTTGTCTTTGGACGAGTACCGCGCCGAGCCCGGCGTTGCTGGCGTCCGTGTGAACTTCCGTTTCCGCTGATGGATCGAAGTGTCCGAGAATGGGGGGAGACTGGAGTCTTTCCTTCAGTTCGTTGAACGCCTGTTCTTGCTCCTCCCCCCACTGGAAGTTCACGTCGTCCTTCGTCAGATGTGTGAGCGGTGCAGAAATGTTGGCGAAATCGCGAACGAAACGCCTGTAGTATGCGCACAGCCCAAGAAATCTTCGCACGGCCTTCTTGTCTGATGGCTTCGGAAATTCGGCAACAGCGGATGTCGTTGCAGGGTCAGGACTTACACCTTGAGCACTCACGACATGGCCCAGGAATTTGAGCTCGCCGTAAGCGAACCGACAATTTGACGGCTTCAGTGTCAGTCCGGCATTCTGGATAGCCTGTAGCACGGCTCGCAGGCGTCTCAGGTGCTCGTCGAAGTTGCTGGCGAATACCACGACGTCGTCGAGATAGACGAGACAACTTTGCCACTTCAAGCCGGAAAGAACGGTGTCCATTACGCGCTGGAACGTCGCCGGTGCTGTGCATAGTCCGAACGGCATAACATGTAAGTTCGTACAGCCCGTCCGGCGTGACGAAGGCAGTCTTTTCACGATCTCGTTCGTCCACCTCGATCTGCCAGTACCCACTCTTCAGGTTCATCGACGAAAAGTATCGGGCGTGGCGCAGCCGGTCCAGGGTGTCGTCGATGCGTGGCAGCGGGTAGACGTCCTTTTTTGTTACGGCGTTAAGTCGGCGATAGTCCACGCAGAACCGAAGGGTCCCGTCTTTCTTTTTCACCAGGACTACCGGTGAAGCCTACGGACTCCTTGAGGGCTGAACAATGTCGTCATCGAGCATTTCTTGGACCTGCTTCTGAATGACTTCTCTTTCTTTGACAGAGACACGGTACGGCGACCGATGAACAGGAAGCGCGTTGTCTTCAGTGACAATTCGGTGTTTCGCAACGGTCGTTTGGCGCACCTTTGACGACGTGGAGAAGCACTCATTGAACTCGGCGAGTAGGTCACTAAGTTGTCGTCGTTGTGGGGTAGGCAGGGTTGGATCGATGTCAAACTGCGAAGGCAGCGTTGTCTTGGGTGGCCACGAAGAGAGGTTTTCTGATATTCCGGCGATTGCGGCTGAGTCCGGGAGTTCCTCCGCGTGACCCACGGCGGTGCCTCTCGTAAGGTGCTGGGCCTCCTGTCGGAAGTTCGTTACGAGTGCGACAGTGTGTCCGTCTTGGAGCTCCGTGACGCCTCTTGCGATGCCGATCCCTCTTCCTAGAAGCAACTGGAGGTTTCCTTCGAGCGAAATGTCGCAGCAGAAAGTCTCATCGACCCCGACGGGTACGAAAACACTTGACCGCGGTGGTAGGTTCACGTGGTTTGCGAGGACTCGTACCGCGGATAACGTCGCTTTGGGGTCCTCCTGTGGTGGAGCAGGTTTTCGTAGCGTCAGCCGGTTTGCTCCGAGGTCGATGACGGCGCCATACTCGCCGAGAAAGCCCATTCCGAGGATAATGTCCCTCGAACAGTCTTGCAGAACGACGAACTTGACAGGGCACGCCTCACCGTGGATCTCGACGCGAGCACTGCATCTCCCGACCGGCGTGATGAGGTGCCCTCCGGCGGTTCGTATTTGAGGTCCATCCCACGGCGTCGTGACTTTTCGAAGACGGCGGGAGAGCCTCCCACTCAAGACTGAGTAGTCTGCTCCGGTGTCCACGAGTGCTGATGCGTCGTGGCCGTCGATAACAACGTTTAGGTTGTTGGACACCGATGCAGAAGCTTCGTTGCGATGCGTGGCGTCGGGAGAGTGGGAGCGCTCCGTCGTTCTTGGAGGCTCTTTACGTCGGTCGTCTTCGGCAACTCCACCTCCAGGGGTTGCCGCGCCTAGTTTCCCCGGCGAGGAGCGAGGGGTGACAGGCTTTCACGTCGGGGTCGGTGCATCGGCGAAGCCGGACGTCATGGCGATGGCGACCGGAACTCTCGGCGGGAGGCAGGCTCGGGGGACTGAGGTCGTCGAAGGTACTCGTCGATCTCCCGAGGGCGTTCACCGTAACGGGGGCGTGGGTCATTCGGGTGGAACCCCCGCAGCCCGAGTCGCCGGTATGGGCATTGGCGGTAGGTGTGGTTCGCTTCCCCGCAGTGGAAACACAAAGGACGTCGGTCGGGTGTTCGCCACACGTCGGTCTTCCGAGGTGCGCGGGGCTCCTGGCCGGCGTACTGGACCTGGTCGTCGCGGTGGCGGTCGTGCTGCGGCGCAGGAGATCGACGTCGGGGCGGAGCGACATAGGCTCGAGGAGGAGGTGGTGGCCTTCGGGCCACTGCGGCGTAGGTCAGGCTGGGCTCCTCCGGTGCTGCTACGATGACAGGAGTCTCCGCCTGGAAGGCTCGGTGGACCACCTCTCGTACGACTTCGGCGAGTGAGAGAGAAGACGGGCTATCTGCAGCAGGTAGGATCTTCCGGAGCTCTTCCCGGACGATATCCCGGACGATCTCCCGGAGGTTGTCGACACCGTTGGTATTCGGGTCCAGTAGGGAAGCTGTGACGGTTGGAGCAGTAGGCGCGCCGGCGAGTCGGTGGTAGTGGCTTGCTCGGGCCGTCAGTGCGCGCTCGATGTTGGTGGCTTCACTGACAAAACCATCGACGGTCGTCGGGGGATTCCGAACCAGGCCACCGAAAATTTCTGCCTTGACGCCTCGCATGAGGATTCGAAGTTTCTTTTCCTCTGTGGCCTCCGGGTCGGCTCGGGCGCTTAGACGCAGGACATCCTCCACGAAGCCGGTGATGCTCTCGTTGGAACCTTGAGTCCTGGTACGCAGTAAGTCTTCGGCTCTCTCTCGGTGGTGCTGGTTGACAAATGTCGCCTTCAGCTGGCTCTTGAAAATGTTCCAGGATGTCAATGAAGACTCGTGATTTTCGTACCAGCTTCTGGCAGTCCCCTCGAGCGAGAAATACACGTTTTGCAGCCGTTGCTCGTTGGTCCAGCTATTGTGGGGGGCGACGCGTTCGAATTGGTCGATCCAATCTTCAACGTCTTCGTGGAGTTCGCCGTGGAACGGAGCCGGTGTCCGAGGAGCGACAGGTAGGTAGACGACGGCAGGAGCGGCGGGGGTCTGCGACTGGTTGGCCATCGTCGGCTGCCTGGTCCTGGGTGGTAGAAGTCCGTACTCCGGCTTTAGCCCTTGGGTGCGGCGACTTGATCGAGTCTCGATCTGGTCTTCGTTGGGTCCTAAGGAGCTTGGGTTCGGACTTGTACTGCGGGAACTCGGAGGGCTGCGCTGCACGGACATGCGGTACCCAGCACCTCCACCAGAATGTCACGGGTGGTGAGTCGTGACCAATAAACAAGAAATAAACAGAAATAAATAAACGTTTAATGTGGCGAACTTGTGCCAAAAATAAAGAAGGAAACAGAAGAAAGCAGAGCGTCGCGGGCGTCGAAGTCGGCGTGTCAGCAGAATCGAGCGCTGGGGCGAGACTGACTCGATTAGGTCGCGGACGGCCTCTTATCAAGAGTGAGTCACTATCTCAAAGATTCGGCGGAGAAGGTTCGAGTGTAGTGCGCTCAGGGCGAGAATGAACACGCACTTTCCAGAACAAGAAAGCAGGAATAAAGGATGGAAGTTACACCTGGAACAAGAATAAACGAGAACGTTCTAGAGCTCCGTGACCGAGCGTTGATTTCCCGGCACCAGCGCGCGGCAATATTATAGTGTCGGCTGAAATTTGGGAAGGGGGGGGGGGGGGGGGGGGCGGTGCTGAAACATTATAAGTTTTTGCAACTGGCAACGGCAGTTCACAAGAGGGTTCGGCATGATGGTCCTCGGTGATAGTGGAGACCCCCAACCCTCTTCGGCCTAGCAGGTAGCTTTAACCAGCTTCAACCGACCCCAATTAACCTTTACCCTAAACCACAGCTTAATCCGCTCGCCGGATGAATTGGCCCTCTCCTTGCGTTAACAGAAATGCACAACTTTGGTGGAAATCAGCTCGTCCAACGACGTTTCATCGACAGGTCGTTTAGTTGGCATGCAACATCTGTATCCGCGATATAGAGCAAGCACATCGGCAAATTTTTGCAGACGCTTTAAAGGGGCCGTCAACGCCTCTTGATAAAACC